TAATGACAGTTGTCATAAACATGCATAAAAAACCCTTCATATTCATGACATGTGTCATGTCATGATTATGTATGTGTCATGTCAGTCTTATGCACACCCCTTCAAGTAAAGTGTAACCCAAATATGTTAATAATTTTAACTAAATAAGAGGGATCATGAAGATTGCATGTTATTTTTATTTAGTACTGTCCTGAATAAGCTATTTCACATAACAGATGTTTATATATACTCCACAAGACAAAATAATATCTGAATTCACAAAAAAAATGAATCCTAATAATCTTAATAATCTGTGTAGTTTCCTGGATGATCCACGACTGTTTTACTTTTACTGTGTTTGTGATAGTTGTACATGAGTCCCTTGTTTGTCCTGAGCAGTTCAACTGTCTGCTGTTCTTCAGAAAAATCCCCCAGCTCCTGCACATTCTTTGGTTTCCAGCATCTTCTGCATATTTGAACCCTTTCCTACAGTGACTGTATGATTTTGAGATCCATCTTTTCACACTGAGGGACTCATACACAGCTATTACAAAAGGTGGATACATTTACTGATGCTCAAGAGGGCAAAACAATGCATTAAGAGCTGGGGGGTGTGACCTTTTGAACAGGATGATGATGTGTAAATTTTAGTTATTTTGTTTAAGATTCAAGGGTATATAAACTTTTGGACGGGGACATTTTTATAAATTCAGTTATTATTTTGTCTCATGGAGAATATATAAACATCTATGTGAAATAGCTTATTCAGGACAGTATTAAACAAACAATAACAATGTTCATGATCCCTCTTATTTTGTTAAAATTATTAACATTTTGCATATCCTGCAATGGGCATGTAAATGTATGAACACAACTCTCTAGCTGTAAGTGACAGTATTTATGAGGTGCTGTGGTGTGTTCCAATGGCTAAAAAAACTTGACTGGTTTGTTGACTGAGGATTCAGTCCCCTAAAAAGCGAGCAATGAGACACACCACCCTGACCAAGACACTAAACCTCAGGTTACTCCAGGAGGATTTAACTTAACCTGTACGAAATGAACTTTAAATGTGTTTGAATAAAAGTGTCTGCTATATGACTATAGCGACGTTTTTACTAATTAAGTGGCAAAAAGAAAAGAAAAAAAAACTTCTGCCTTATTGAGTGTATTTACTTTGCTTTATTCAGGCCCTCTCATCCTAATCTTCTCAGAGAGCTCTTCTTTCACTGCAGCCTAAGCTAGTGGAGGAAAGTGAGAAAGAAAAGCAGATGGCTATAGTATAAGACACAAATAGTATCGCAACACAGAAGGGCTTGGGTTCTGGCAGCAGAGGCCCTGCAGCAGGGCAAAGGGGTGACAACCCGGTGACATAGCAGCTAATGACACCTCTGCCATTCCTGTGAGGATTCACAACCGTTTCTCCTTCATCAGCATTGGTCAGTGCGACACAGAATGGCAGCAGATATTGGAAGGTGAGGTGTTAAGAGGCATAAAAGAGACAGACGCTGAAAAGGTAGACTCACAAGCAAAGCTGATTTAAAAGTATAGTTCACCCAAAAATGAAAGTTCGGTCATCATTTACTCACCCTCAGGTTGTTTCCACATTCTTCAAAATATCTTCTATATCTTCTACTTGAGGGGGAGTAAATGATGACAGAGGTTTCATTTTTGGGGCCCATCTCTTTAGCCATAATGGGTGGGTGACTAGAAGTCAAAAATAAACAAAGCTGAACAAAGCGAGTTTTTGGCAGAATCTAAAATAACAGTTTAGGATGAGATGACTACCGAAATAAACATAAAATCCAAGATGCTACTGTTCAAACAGAAGAAGCCACTCGATCGTCCATTCTTGAAGGGGGAGCATCAGGAAGGTGTCCAGGAGAAACTGAGGTTATCAGAAGAGGAACAGAGAAGATTTGTGTCTAACCCCCTGTGGCATAGAGATGTTGATTATCAGCTGTTCAATATCTGCTTGCAGAGAGGAATTATGGCTATGGGAAAATATATATAAATCCCACTCCTGACATGGAAAGTGCACTGACTGAATAGGGTATAGGGTTAAAATAAGCATTTCTATGTTTGGTCATAATTACTGACTGATATAAGTAGTGCTAACTTGTGAACCACAGCTCATTTTAGGTAGTTTGTTTTCTTTTTCTTTATTTCATTGGCGATCAAAGGGCCCCACCTTGTGGCTGCTCCACCTCATTGACACAAATGTTTCCTCTTTATTGCGAGTTTGTCAAAAGAAAAAGGTTTTTGGTATCTTTTTTTGTATTTTTCAGGTTTTTGGTATCCTATCTTTAAATGTGAATGGGCTAAATTTAAAGGAGTAAGCTAGTAATTAAATGAAAGAAAGAGCATTTTTGTGCATTTTTGCAAAAAACTAACTTATCCAATGATGAACATGAAAACTAATTACATGGGTTTTCCTTACAGTTATTATTTATCATATAAAGCAGGTAAGAAAAGTGGAGTCGCAAAACAGGCAAACCATCAATATCATTTGGAGAACCCTGCATATTACTGGTCATATGAAGAAAAAAAAAGTAAAGCAATCTCCTTAGATCATGACTTTTGATTCTGTCAGTTCGGAATTTCCTTAAGTTATGGATAGCTTTGGATTCAGTATAGCATCAACGTTAGTATTTCCAATTCAGTTGTTTTACAATTAGGATGCAGATAGATCCGTCCCATTAGACTTTTTATGTTTTTTACTGAACCATTGGCTCAAATATTTAGTGATCATATTAAAAAAAAGGATACAAAATCTATTTATATGCAGGTGATGTACTGGTAACATTACAAAACCCAGACTCAGAAGTGCCTTTGTTGATGAACATCTTAAAGACATATTAGAGCTATTGATACTGAACTTTGTTCCCACACAAGAACTGGCAAATAAGTATCATTTTAATTGGAATTTATCTACATATTCAGTGTCCTGGGATGTATTTATTGAAGGATTTGTCCTCTTTGTACACTTTAAATTACATCAAATAAATTAGAACATTTATAAAGATTTGGACAGATGGACTTTGCTTGCCCTAGATCCATTAAGATGAGATTACACTGGGTAACGTTGTTGCGTAAACGATTGTATTTTGCACGGTTTTTCACACATACATAATATTCGAAGGATATGAAAGACCTCCTCATTCCAAACAACTTTGCCTCTAGAACCACTGCTGTCAATCAAATCATTTGTCAAATGATTGAGATGAAAAAAAAAAAAAACTTTTGCAAACTAGTACTAGGTTATTTTGGGGGAAAAACACTGCAGTACAATTCTCTGAAATCTCTAGGACAAAAATAATTTTTAAAAATGTAGAAATTAACCCCGTTTTAGCTTCCCAAAGGGTAGTTTAGAAAAGGAGCCAGTCCAAATGTACCTTAACAAAAACTCAAAAAACACATGCGACAATTAAGTGATTCTAAACAAGAATGCAAAGTTTTTGGCAGATCGGACCACAGCTGCCTGGTGCTACAACAGTCATACATGGTTTTTTTTAAAAACATATTTCTATTGTAATTACCTGGTTTTGCCCAAAATGTTTTTTTAAGTCATTGATTTAGGTGGATACAGACTTGATAAATAATGTAGTTTTTTTCATATGTGCTTAAATGCCTTAAAGTGCTTGAACCCTGGTAATCGCTGCTTGCAGATATTTCCCCTTGCAATTACCGAGAGAGAGGGGAGGCATGGCATTACAGTGAGATTGTCAGTTAGCTGCTCAGTTAAGATCGGTGCTCTCGAAACTATGTATCAGATTGGGAAAATATAGACTTCTCTGATGGACACACCAGTACAATCAGCTCCAGGCTGTCTACACCTGGTGAAAGTGATATATATGTATATATATATATATATATATTACATAATCTGTTGGAGGTGGATAAATGCCTCCAGCTTCATAAAGAGGTACAGGGCTGTGATCAACACTTTGCTCCAGTTTTGTATGACCACAGATATACAGTAGGGTCTGGACCTCCCATGGCATTAGCACCCTCTGAAAGATTTTATAAAACGCTCTCCAATAAACCATGTTGGACCTCACAAAGACTGAACAGTTGCCACAGCTAATAATACATCCACTGCATTCGCAGACAAACCTTTAAGACACTTTTTACTGCATATTTATGCTTTCATTGTCTTTATTTGCTTAGAAGCACTAACTTGAATTGTTCATAGAAGCTCAAATTATTAGCTTTCTGTGCATAGACATTTTATTTGCAAGTCACGTTGAAGCTTCTAATATATTAAGAACTGTCTTTCTGTATTGTAAATAAGTTTTCATTTCACATATAAGAAGCATTCAAGAACAGGTTTCGTGGCATAAGTTGCAAAAAACAAACTCTCTTAAGGAAAGAAGTTTTAGGCTGATGATACACAGGGCAACTTTTTGAGCAATGTTGCCGTCAATGTGGCATCCAGGTGAGACACAGGGCCCATGACCGATCTGAAATATCCAGATAGAAATTTGTTACCCATTCTCAGTGGGAGAGTGCCCAAGCAAATTATGTTTTCTTTCCATGCCACTGCGCATCCTGTAGATTGCCTTATATGCATGCATATAGTTCTCTCAACTGAAAATAATCTTTATGCATTTATGCATATGACGTCAACATGAACACAATTTAACTTAATTATAGCTGTCAAAGAAGCTGTCAAAGTTTAATCTAAACTGTGATTTAGAGAAGAACTATTTACAGATCAAATTGGATGAGAAGAGACTGTATCTTCAGGCTGAATTTCTTTCTTTTTTTGAAAAGTGAAGGCTATCGAGTATGTATGCAAATTCAGGCCATTATAAAGTATAGAACATTAATATTTCTGACCCCTCTGCCAGTTCTGAGTCTATTCAATGTAGGTGTTGAATTCTGGCCTTTCGCAAGTGTCCTGTGCTGACAGGTTCAAATATAATCAAATGTTTTGAAACCTGGACCATACCCATATTCATAACCACAAACTGACAGCTAAAACTACATAATTAAGTTGAATGACATTTTGTACTGCAAGGTTATGTCTCAATTAAGTTTATTCAACACTGGCACAATATACACATTCAAGAGCATCTCCAAAACATGACAACAGATCACTTTTTATAAGCCATGTGCCATCAACATAAAACATTATTTATGAGAGCTATTTGTGCAAATGATTCACTACAATAATAGTACACAAAGAAAACATTATATGAGAATGTTTCTGGTACTCTTTTTTTTCTCTAATATTTAAATACAGCACACAACATATTTTCCTTTAAAACAAAGTCGAAATTTCAATATTATGTGGTCAAATAAACATGTCAGTTCTCACAACAATACACAGAAACATCTATGGACACACACCAGACCACAGAACTATGTGGGAAACAGCAGAGAAACTGGACGCAAACATATATGCACACCACCAAAAAATAAGAGAAACTGGATGCAAACATATATGCACACCACCAAAAAATAATATTTAATGTTAATATTTAATCTAATACACAGCAAAAAAAATCTCTTTTCATATTTACAGTTATAGCACACAAAACATTAAGCTGTCTGTTAATAGATATTTACCTTATATCATTAATTTATAATGTAAAGTGTACAGTTCACATTAAATGGTGCCTCAGTTTGCAAATACAATAAGGTTATTCTGGAGCTTCAAAAAAAAAAAAAAAAAGTCCACAGAATACTCAAGAATGAATCTCACAAAACTTGTCAAAGCCATGCTCAGGAAATTATATTTTGCATAAAAAAGAAGGTTAAAGTTTTACACTGTAAGATGAAATGTTATTTAAATAGTAAAGTATTTATGCACTGCATCTAACATATGCGCTTGAGTTAAAAAGCTTTGTATTACAGTAATTTAGGGGAGCTAAATTACTGTAATGCCACAATAATGCCACAATAATGCCACATAATGCAATAATACCACAATGCAAACAAATCTTAACCATCCCAAAAAATTATCCTTCTTTATGCAAAATATATATTTCCTTTTTTGTTCTAATATGATCAGGACATGTATTCCTGAGATTCATCCATAAACAAGCATATTAAAGGAATGATTATCACAAAAAAAAAAATCCAACAGCACCCCGATGACATGTAATAACAAGAAATTAATAATCAAATCAATAACCAAAGTAAACACTAGTGCTGTGAGGACGAGAAAGGAAACTGGCTTTGTGTCTTTTACTCCGTCTGGGGAACAGAGATGGCAGGACCCTTGGGGTCGTCGAAGCGGTCCATGGTGCGCAGCTGCATGATCATGTGCAGGCCGTAAGTGAGAACCAGCACCATGAGAAGAGATGTGACGAGCCCCATCCAGATACCAGGAGTGAAGAAACTAGCACAGTCACTGGCATAAGAGAAATCCTTCCCAGCCACATTAAAGCCCTGGATCTGTCACATGAGTGAAATACCATTCCTGGGTTTCATCTCACTTTCATTTTGTTAAGTAAAATATGGTATTTAATGGAAATCAATGTAAGATGGAACCTGATTTTAACTATCAGGATTTCATTTGAGTTGTGAAATTTTGGCTATTACATTATGGGGTAATATTTGTCATTTAAAGGGGTCATATGACGTTGCTAAAAAGAACATTATTTTGTGTATTTGGCGTAATGAAATGTGTTTATGCGGTTTAAGGTTAAAAAACACATTATTTTCCACATACTGTACATTATTGTTTCTCCTCTATGCCCCGCCTTTCTGAAACGCGTAGATTTTTACAAAGCTCATCGATCTGAAAAGCAAGGTGTGCTGTGATTGGCCAGCTATCCAGTGCGTTATGATTGACCGAATACCTTAAGCGTGTGACGGAAATGTTACGGCCCTATCATATTTTGATGCCTTGTCCCGGCCGGAGCGACGAGACAAAAACATTAAAATCCATTATAAACGAGGCATTTGTTGCATCTAGTGGGGACATAATTACGGATTATAATGACTTATATGGTCTTTTTACTTGTTGCGTTGCGTGTCGCGCCGCATAAACATAAAGCCATGTCTGCATTAGTGATCAGAGAAACAACAAACAACAAGCACTACTCTACACTGCTTAAAACTTGCGTTTGAATCATCAGTGGCAAATTCTTTAAATATAAAAAAACATACTTACAGGCTGCGAGTCAGAAGCGCCAGACCGTCCTTGCAAAGTTGGAACTGCCCAACTTTATAGAAACAGCCTTTGAGCACAGACGCATTGTAGGCTACTCTACCAGGTTCAGGAAACAGTCCTCCATAAAATGCGCTGCACACATCTGAATATTTTTGGTTGAACTGTTCTGGAACAGTGTTGTAAATACAACTTAACAACTGATTTCTAGTTGTGTCCTCTTTTGGAAGGCCAAACAAAGTAGTTTCGCGCTCACAACGAAACACACAGCGTCACACACGGTGGCTTGAGTGAGCAGAGGCGGGCGGGCTTGAGAACGGCGCGGCCAGCGGATTCGACGAAGGAGCGTTCGGTGAGCTTGCGGCAACCACATGTGACGACCTCGGGCTGGACTCCGCTTCGTCCACAGTGAAAGCTGATCCGGCGATCCACAGCGCAAAGTTGATGTATTTCCTCAGCGACCAGCAGGGATCAGCTTCAGGCATGAAGAAGCGGATATTGTCCTCTTTTGGAAGGCCAGACAAAGTTCGCTTTCACAACGAAACACAGCGTCTTCATGACATGGCGGCAGCAACAATACTACAGCGAGAATAAAAGTTACGCCTTCTTTCTTTGCGTGAACATTTGGGCGGCGTTATGCAAATCTTCCAACATCGTGACATAGACATGTGGGGGCGTGTTAGAACGAGCCATTTTAGGAGGGTGTGGTTGACTTAACTTTTATAAAGAATAACTCTTTGGGTTTGAGATTTTAGTCTTTGCAACTTTAGGGATCTTATCTATTCACAAACAGCTTGTAACACTCCAAAGAGAAAGGAAAATTTGAAATCGCATCATATGACCCCTTTAATATAGCAAATGTTTATTATAGACTTTAAACCATGGGAACCATGAAGTAGTTGTCTTTGGTTTCATTGTTTCAGAACCTACCTGGAAGTCATGTAAAGAGATCTGCCAGTCGTTGGCGTTGTCCTTGTCTGAGTGGGGTGACAGCTGAGGGTAGCGGGAACTGCTCACGGACTCACAACGGTACGAGTATTCGGCCGGGGCATAGATGTAACGGCTGCCATTGAACGTGGCAGTTTTCCCATCATACTCCAGATGAACCAGATCCATGGTGAACCAATGGCGGGCAGAAACCTTATAGTGACGGCGGTTCATTACAAAACTGAGGAGAATACAGAACACAGTTCAAGCCCAACACAGAGACATAGAACACAGATATTGTGTGTGTGTGTGTGTGTGTGCAGGGCCGTTTCTAGGCATAGGCGAGCTAGGCGGTCGCCTAGGGCGCCATCAGCTGAAGGGGCGCCAATGAAGCTAAGTTCAAAGGCCAATTTAAAATATTGGTACAGTAAATAAAGTGCACAAAATCAGTATTTTGTTTAGGCACTATTTGTGGCACATTTGTCCAAATATTTGTGGCAGATTTGTCCAAAAGGTGTGCGTTTTTTGCGCCAATGCATTGTTAAAGGATCAGCGCGTCATGTAATATTCCTATATAAAGTTTAACATCCAATTAAAAAATATTTGTATAGTAAAATTTGCTAATTCACGAGATCAATATCCTTTATTAGACCGCTTTGTCGAGTTAAATGCATCCTTACGGAGGTGTCGAAATGCGGAATCAATTCATTCATTTCCAACAGCGCTTAATGGGAGCAGCGTCATAGAGGGCAGAGCGTCACGTTATATAAAGGGGACGTTAACGCGTTAACGAGTAGCAAATGATTGAGTAGCTGCATTGGTTACTTTTATGCCACTGATAAAGCTTTTATGGGGTAACAAAGGGGTTTTATAGGTTTGACTGAAATAAGGGCAATAGGGATTTCGCCTAGGAAGTCAAATTGGCTAGAAACGGCCCTGTGTGTGTATGTGTGGTGTGGTGTGTGTGTGTGTGCGTGTGTAAATGCGAAAATTAAATGCTTACATGAGCTTAAAAGAATGGTAATTCAGGATGTCTTTGTAGTTCAAAACCAACCTGTATTTCAGGAGAAAATTGTGGTTCATGAACTGCCAACATATACATTTATATGATAATAGCATAGCACTTTAATTGTTTAATACACTGTTGTCTTGCCATGCTGCCTACTGTATACTGAACACATCAAAGTGCAAGTTTCAAATCCGTTTGTCCTGTGGTTATAAGTTTTGCAGTTCCATGGAGAATGGGAGAAACAGAAAGGAGCACAGATTCACTGTCGGAGCATCATTGAGTCACGCATCCAGTGTAGACACAGTGTAACCCCCGCTGTCTCCAAAATTAAACCCTATACCAGGGGTTCTCAAAGTTTACATTCAAAGCTCCCATCAATCATCAATGTCAAAAAGGTCCAAAATAATCGTTATTACAAAACTTGTTTTTAATAAACATACTTATAACTTTATATAACAATTCAACTTTATATATGCTTAATTATCATATTCATGAAGTTATCAGGTCGTACTCGTATTTACAAATATTAACCATGGTTTTACTACAAATAAAACAAAAAAAAAACATGGTTACTAGAGTTAAACCATGGTAACCACAAATAAACCATGGTCTTGCTACACTAACCGTAGTTTAACCATGGTATTTGTAGTAAAACTGTGGTTATACAAAGTCTAATCAATATGCCAAAAAAACATGGTTACTTCACTTTTACTATAATAAAACCATGGTTATTTTAACTCTCTGAACTGTAATAGTAGGCTACAGCATTTAATACAACTAATGCCCAATAAAGCCATTCTCGTTTACAAATTTTCTGTTTCTGAAATAGTACTTCAGTGTAACTTGCAGTCACTTCAACTGAATTGCTAAAATCTTGAATTAGAACCGCTGTTATACAGCAGTGAATATTACTTTATTATATATATCATGCAGCACAAACGTCCGTCTGTGTAACAAACCATGTGCATATTTACAGACGAACTACATTTATGTTCATATGCCCAGACAATCAACAGTGAGAGCTTTTTGAAAATGCTGTTTTGTACTCCTTCATTCACAAGTCTGCTGTGGTTCGGTCCATTGAATGTCAAGAAAGACGAGCTGCGAAGCCGCTGACATCCGGACCGGAGTCCAGACATTGAGAAGGGCTGCCCTATACCCTCATTTACTATTCCCTATATTATTCCACTAATATAGTCTACTAAATGAGTAAACAAGTGAATCTGAACAAGCCATCTTCTGACACAAAGAGGGAATGGACTACTTGCACTAAACTAGCGAGCCGTACAATTTGAAAAAGGATGCAAATCAAAAAAATTGTATACGCATTTCTTTTTTAATGATTCTGAATCTAAATTATACATTAAAATGTTTAGATAAAAATTAAAAAATAAGAATAAAAATTAAATTAAAAAAATACTATTTGTTTTTGCATATGCACAAGTGCACGTGTGTGCACTAGAGACAGGACGCTCACCGCAAGCAGGTGTGCGTGATTTGCGCAAGCGGTTTAATGCACTTGAACCTCTAAATTTGCAATTGCATCTTATGCATCTTAATAAATCTAAACACAGTCAGTTATGTCTCAAGGACAGGACAAAACATCTGAAACGTGCAAACAGATCTTTGCATTAGTGTGAATGAATGCATTCAATTATGATAAGAATTATTACTGCCAGAATCAGAATCAGATCATGAGGTGCCAAACAGTGTATGATACAAGAGTATACAGAGCGATTTAAAACACAGCCCCCTTCTTTGCTCGACTGTGAATGGTCCAAACCCTGAAGGCCAACCTCCACAGGTCAGATTTTCTATGAAGGGTCAACACGCACTCTACTGAATCACAATGATCAACATGACAGAGTATGTTTACATATCAATGGCTATTTAGTATGGAGGGGCACTGTTACTATTTTCAGATGGATGGCCAATCATAATAAAAGCAGTAGTAGTCTTAAAGTTTATAGTCATTTCATCTAATTCTCAAAAATGGGTGGAAAATTGGCATGATGATGATAATGACTAACCTAAAACTAATATTAGAAGTGGTTTTTAGAGGACAAATAAAATCCTGAAAAAAATGTTCCCTTTAACGTAAACCTCACATGCAGTTGAGCACTATTTACCGGGAGTGCGTCTCATTGCAGGATGATCCAGACAGGCTGGGTTCCACACCTTCACCGAAGGTATTGGGGGCAAGGTCATGCCTCTCCCACTTTCCTGAGCGATACTGGCTGACCACCAGCTTCTCCGCCCACAAGAGGATGCAGGTGGAGCCCTTCTCCTTAAACTCCAAAGGCGGGTTCGTAGCGGTAGGCTCCTCACGACGGGACTGCAGTAGGGATCGTGACCAGACTGAGTGCACAGCTGGAGACGCCTCCTCTATCACCTGAGACAAACACAAGCCACCTTAAACTCCTACATCAGTTTGATATAATAACACAACCTCCCATTGAAAATGTAATGCAGTTAGGCAACTTGCCTAATTAATATATTAAACCTGTGAAAACTTATTTGGTAGTCTTGTGTTGACAAATTAATCTCTTTTGAATTCGAAACCGTCCATTTTACTTGGGCACATTTTCGAATGTGACTCATCCAACCAGATATTACAGAGGGAACTATTCCTTTTAAATTATTAGTTTTATGGTTTTTGTTTTTTGTTTTCTACTTTATGTTGTGTGATAAGCTTTAAATTGTTTGTTTGCGTTACATTATTAAGATCCAAAAAAAAAATTTTTTAAATCATCAACTGAGACAAAGTAACTTAGATGAAAAGTATTTAATTAAACGAAAGAATTTACAATATACGTTATTTAGCATATAAACCATTTTCGTTTGAATTTCCAGTAAAATTAAAATCACTTCAATGTATATCGTTACACTCATATAAAATCACTCATATTTCAATTTTGGTTTGATTTTGGTCACACTAGCCAGCCCTACCTGAAGGTGTGTACGTGCATACAGGATAGTTGCAGAGAAGTCTTACCCTTGAGGGCCAAAGTGCAGTAAACACTGCAGTATACGGCACAGACTGAGCTTTCATGATGCTCAGCACCTGACCAATCACCTCATCTACAGCAAACAACATAATCCCATTCATTTGCAGGAAAACACTTCATTGTATTAGTATCTTGGCTTGTTTTACAATAATAATAATTGTTAGAGCACAAGGCTTTTGATACTTGGTGATGTTTGAATATGACACGTACCGTTTCCGCTGAGCACTTCTTTAGTAGACATCATATCAGCCCTGCAAGAAAAAGACATCTTATAGTCCTCATAAGATCAAGAGTTCCTTTTCAGGTTTTAAGAAGGTCCCAAAAGTAAGGGATTTTCATCTATTCACCCTGTATTACTTTGTGTTTCCAAATTCAAAATTCGATTTTATATAAAGAAATGCTCACCCGACAAATGGAAAACAATGGCTGAGTTCAATTGCATACTATACTACTGTCACTTTAAATTTCTGTCACATGGTGAAGAAAATTCTAAAAGAAGACAGAAAATAAAATTCCGTTCTTGGATTTTTCAGCTCTGCCTCTCTCATCCTTTTTACTATGTGGATTTCAAAAGACACTTTATCTCTATTTCTACCATTCACTCACTATATCCAAGATAATTATCCATGGTAGCATACACACTGGCTACAATTAATGGTTTTATATTTTTTTTATCATTAATTATTATTTCATGCATTTAATCTCATGTCACAGCTGTAATAATTTCTGTCACAATGCATATCCTATTGCCTTAAAATATAGTTAGATCCCATAAATGTCCAACATAGTTTTCTCTTCTAACTGTGCTTATTTGCATCATTGGTTGCAGAAGGTGGTAACAGATGAGAAATCTAGTTATATCTTCTTCATGCATTTCAGCATTTACAGCATAAAAGACTTTGTAAATAAACTTTATTTAATAAATATGTAAAAGAACCATAGTTTTTGGAGAAGATAACTGGATGGGGCTCACTGAACAGCATTAATGAGGTCATGTGACAACTTAGCATAGTACAATTTGAAACAGTATCCAATTGCATAATGTATCAGTTCATATACTATTTAAAGTAAATATGTAGTCAGTGTACAGTATTGATTTCATTCTGAACACCAGCCAGTGTCAGAGATTTGATTACCCGCCACTGTAAGGGAGGCGGAAGACCAGCAAGGCAGCAACAGAAGCATTGAGGCGGAGTTGAGCAAGCGTGTCTGGGTTCATGTAGAGAGGAGCCGCATCAATCTGGTTCTGGAGCAGTGTAGAAACCAAAGCAGTGGCGGACGATGACACCGATGGCAACCATAAGGAGGAGGAGGACAGCAGAGCCGCCTGTGAACATGCCACAGTCATACATCAACAAAACCTGAGAGCTGCTTTTTAATCTTTGAGCTAACAAGCGAAACAAGTGATTTCAACTGAAATTACTGAAAGAAAAAAACTGAAATCTCAGTTAATACCAACAAACAACTTTGTTTATGTCAACTAAAGTCAAAAACATAAGAAGTAATAAATATCATAAATTGTGATAGATGGAAAAGACATCAACATACCTCAAGATTTTGGAAGACACTATCCTGTTTGTTTCCAAAGACTCCACCATACAATGTGAAGTCATCGACACTCAACTGAATGAAACACAGAGAATTCAGCCAATAAGATTAGCACTACCTCAACTAGCAATACAGATTGTTGTCTTCAATTTAGAAATGTGTATCTATTAGAGATATTGTGAAATTATAGTATCTCTATCTCTCTCAATGTCTGTCTCTCTGGCCTCATTTACAACTAGTATTAATGTGAGCTAAACACAAGTGGACAAAGCAAACCGTATATGCTTAGAATGTTGTTTTCTTGTTTTATTTTTTTATTAATTTTGTCTTTTATCAACAGGCGGCACACTGACACATTGATGATATGTATGCAAAATCTGTCAAGAAGTATATATATATATATATACCTATAGTCATCCAATACTGTGGGAATGACAAAACAGTAATGTGCAGCAAAAAGCAGTTGAGCTGCACAAATCAGGAAATAATTTCCTATTGGCACACTAAAGCAAACAATATAAATCTGTTTGTTATGAATAGTGCATACTTTATCCTGCAGGAAGAGCAGCAGATTATGCGGTGCAGTGCTCAGCGCTGTGTTCAGGTGTGACTCCAGCTCCTCCACAGACACAGTGTGACCCGCTGATGGAGCACTCACAGGAGACAAGGCAAACCTACACACAACACATTAGAAGAGCACAAGGCTAGAAAAACACATACGTGACCCTGGTCCACAAAACCAGTCAGAAGGGTCAATTTTATTAAATTAAATTAAATAAGCTCTCCATTGATGTATGGTTTGTTAGGATAGGACAATATTTGGCTGAGATACAACTATTAGAAAATCTGGAATCTGAGGGTGCAAAAAAATTGAAATATTGAGAAAATCATCTTTAAAGTTGTCTAAATGAAGTCCTTAGCAATGCATATATTACTAATCAAAAATTAAGTTTTGATATATTTACGGTAGGAAATTTACTAAATGTATTAATGGAACATGATCTCTACTTAATATCCTAATGATTTTTGGCATAAAATAAATTTTGACCCATACAATGTATTGTTGGTTATTGCTACAAATATCCCCCAGCAACTTATGACTGGTTTTGTGCTCCAGGGTCACATATCACGATCATAATGACAAAACTACACAATGAGCATCAGCAGGAGTGTAACTTTGACAAACACAAAAACCGGATTGACGCAGATTCGAGTAAACTGTCTAAACATCCACGACGGCCAAAATGTTTACTAGCTTTAAGACTTTAAGCCATCACCGCTCAACACTGCTATCTGGAGTCTAATGTAAGCACACCGAAGCTCGTAGATGCGTATATTGTTCGATTACTAAACGTGTGCGGTTTATCAGAGAATGTAACTGTTTAAAGCTCATATTGAAGCGTTTACACTGGTTTCAGGACTGGACAGCGACCGTGTCATCCAGCTAGCAAACCGCTAAAGCTAGTCTCCCGAACTACACTCATATACTGTCGGTCTTTACCCGTCGCTCGCCCAGGCGACCAGGCAAGTCCCTTGCTCGTCGCTTTTCGCTGCTGCGATCACACACAGAAGAAAAAGCGCAATCATCCCGGTGTTACCGGAGACCGTCCTCACAGCAGACATCTTCCGCGCAGATGAGGCGTGACGTCATAACCGGCCGTCTTCCGCGGGGTCGATCAATGACGTGTAGAGGGTATAAACGCTGCCAAATTACACTGTAATTTCAGTTTAAATATACCTTAACTTTTTATAAATGTTGTTCACACTTTGGATTCTAATTGTACCAAGTTTTTGAGAAATGTTCTCATTAGCCTACTAGCAAAAATGTTGTTATTGTAATGTTGCTAAGGCAAAATGGTTAGCACTTTACCCAAACATTACTTTTTTTTAAGGAATAGACTGTGCCAAATACATTTTTGTTTAATAATAAAGTTAAAGGAATGCATTTTAAAGTCAATTTAACCATGTTTCTCCACTCTGCTCTTTCTGCCAAGAGGAAGGAGAATCTATTTCACATTTACTCTATTTCTGTTATTATTCTAAACAATTCTGGCTTCAAATATCAGCTTCCCTACTTCTTGTGTTCCAGCAGCTCTGTAGTAGCCTATTTCCATCAATAAGGTTATTTTCCATTCTGATATTTATGATCATAAGGAGTTAGATGATGTCTTAAACTTCATATGTAGGATGGGTAAATACCATATCCACAAAGCTAGATACCTCCAATTTAAACCCAGCTGCAAAATATTGACTTCTGATCTACATTTATTATTGTCATCACTTTTAAAATCTCCTCCAATAAAAAGCTCTGAAGACATCTCGTATTATAGAATGGTAAAGTAGTAAATTGTGTCATATTTTTCTCTCTTCTGTATTCCCCCATATGTTCTGTTCTTTGGTCTATATTATTTGTATCTTTTGTACTGTATTATACATCTGAAATAAAAAAAATAAAGAAAAGAAAATGATGAATAAAGCTGTTCTGTACTGTTTGTTGTGCTTTCGTTCTATAATGTATTTATCGATAGGTTCACAGAGGGAACAAAATACACACACTCACACACATCTAAATATATATATATTCCCTAAACAGCTTAAAACTGATTTTCTTTTCTTTCAGGAATCTGTTTCGTTCTGTAACTGATTACTATGTGAACATTTAAAGGTCACAAATGGTGTAGCCTAGACCTACTCATCATAGCTCTGACAGGTTTGTAGCTGCGTTCACCACCTTTCTTTTTTATTTAGTCTGTCCTAAAGCTTTGGCAAGATATTTCAGGTTCTTTTTAAGTGGGAGAACTTGCACAATTGGTGGCTGACTAAATACTTTTTTGCCCCACTGTATTTTATTGTATAGTGTGCATTGTGGAAGAAGGATGTATGCTAAGCCTTTTAGATTGATCAGTTTTATCTAATAAATCTGATTCTGTTGCTTGCTAAATTCCACAGTCACAAATCCAAATATTCAAATCTTAGACTTCTTTTTTTGTTTTAATGAAAAAACTTGAGTAATACTTTATATTTAAAATAAGCTTTCACCCCCGGCTCTTAATGCATGGTTTCTCCTTCTGGAGCATCAGTGAGCGTTTGAAGCTTCTGTAATAGTTGTATGAGTCCCTCAGTTGTCCTCAGTCCTACAGTCATTGATGGAAAGGGTTCAAATACACAAGAATGCTGGAAAACTAAAGGATTTGTGGGACCTGAAGGATTTTTCTGAAGAACAGCAGGCTGTTTAACTTCAGGACAAACAAGGGACTCATGAACAACTATCACTAAACAATAAAACACAAATGTGGATCATTCAGCTAACAACACAGTATTAAGAATCAAACTTTTGAACAGGATCATTTTTATAAATTCAACTATTATTTTCTCTTGTGGACTAACATCTTTATGATCTTATTGAGGTCAGTACTAAATAAACAATAACATGCATTTTGTATGATTCCTCTTATTTTGCTAAAATAATTTACATTTTGCAGATTCTGCAAGGTGTATGTACGCTTTTGACTTCAACTGTGATTGGAAGATTAACATTTTTATCAGATTCAAACAACTGTTTGTTGTCATGTTTTCTGTTTGTGCCTTATAGGTCACACAAGAGAGAGATCTTTCATTTAAATCTTTAATATGTCGACTCAGATTTTCATCGTTTAAAATGTAGAAGTTTTTGTATGAAAATGCCTTCTAATGGATAATATCAATTTTGTTTAATAAAAGTTAGTTTAACAGTTTAGCAAAACTTTAAGGATTTTTATTTTGAACAACAGATCAAATGTTTATCTACCTCTAAAATGTATTTCATAAACATGTTCTACGATCTTTCCATCATGTTTATGATTTTGTTTAGAGATCATAGTACATCAGATATTAAAGTATTCTGTCTGTTTCATCAGTTGACATGGCAAACGGGAATAATTATATTCCGCAATAGGCACAAATGCCTATTCTGAAATAATTCTGTATTTACAGTATTTCTGTATTAATTATTCTGTATTTACAGTATATTTACAGTCAAATACCGTATCAAATATAAAAAATCTAACAGCTAGTATCTTCCATTTAAAATGTCTCAATCTGTAATTAAAAAAATTACTAAATGCTTCAGCAGTCCCACTTTAAATCAAGAATTTGACTTCTTGTCACGATAATCACTGATCCAGCTATGACAACTGCGCATACAAATTCAGATGTTTAGGAAACTCCATACAAAGAAAAAAAGAGTGACTCGCTGACATGCTATGATGTAAAAGAGTTACTTCATCATTCTAAATGCTGCTATTTTTGATGGTTGAAGTATTCTGTACAATTAAAATAAAAATAAAATGACTGTAAGAATGCAACATATCCTGCTTCACAGTCTACAAGGCATTTCCAGTCACTGATTTGCACACAACATGTCTCCTGAAGTCCTGCACATTGCTCAAAATTAATTTACTTTCTCTATAGAGGTGTAACTCCTCTACAAAAACAAAATATGTTTTCCTTTAGCCCATGTCTGACTGTCCACACATAAACGAACGGACACCCATGGATATAATTTTACTTAAAAGGATGCTGTAAACCTCTTTGGGTGTAGTCATCTGTATGATTGTTTCTCCTCAGTGTCTACGCTGAGTTGTAAGGCCCGGGTTAGCTAATGGGTAATGTCCTGAATAGCCCTTTATTCTGTAAAACGTCCCTCCATGGGTCACGAGTGTTTCCGTATCCTGTGATGAAGCGCCTCCGCCTGGGCTTTCAAACTGAGAAACTCCCCTTGAATAAAGTCTGTCAGTGTTTTCCGCATTTCCATCTGTAGAGAAAAATAATGTCGTACTCTGTACTGCAAGACTACTACTACTATTACTATTATTATTATTATCTTTTTAAACACTCTACCACCTACCGGACTTGTGTTGTCAGCTCTCAGGGCATTTACCAGATGTCTGACTGTGAACGGCTTTCCAACTACAACAGTTACTCGCTGCACAAAAGAAAAGTACACTCAAGAGTCAAAACTGTTCTGTAGGTGTGACATTGACAAATATCAGGTATGACACATCACACAAGCAAAATATTTATTGACCTGTCCTACTCGAGGGATGTATGGTGTTTGATTCGGTAAAACATTATTCATACCTGAAAAAATATGGTACATAAACATGCGCTCAAATATGAATTCATGAAGTTATGTGCTACGGTAACAGCTTATGTCATTTGAATGTGCACGTGCCTAGCTTACCTACATGCCACATGGGTAAAATGATTGGGTGAAGAGAGCACTCTGCAATCAAACGCCCGATTCCTGTCAAGGAATAGAAGGATTAACAACCAAACAAATCAGGGTAAAGCAAACTATTTGCAATTATTGGAGCATAAATCTTACCCCATTTTATCCTCATGAACTCTCCAGTCATGTTAACTTTACCTGAGACGAGAAATGTACCATATTTCCTTTAGCTTGTACCACAAACAACTGTCAAGGTTAAAAATATGAGTGTCCTCTGCTGTCTGTACCCTCTGGAAATAAGTGCACCCACTCCCCTTGATTCAGCCTTTCCACGAGGAAATCCATTCCTTTCTGATATACTCCATCTCCTAAAACACAGGACAGTTTAATGCATTCAATGAAATGTACCCTTAAAAAAAGATATTTACAAAAACCTTATCAACTCCAGTGTCTCCTTATATGTTTTTCATACTTGGTTAATATATCAATTAGATTTTAAAAAAGCACTGACAACTGTTATTTTTATCATGTGTTCATGATTATAACATCTAACAGTCAGCTGCAGCCAGATAAATTCCTCTTCTTCTATCACTGTGTTTTAACAATGTTTTCTGCAGCACTGATGAGATTAAGCTTAAACTTAATCTTTACCATCTCTTTCAAGCCATAATTACCAAACTTATCCCGCATACCTTTTAAACACAGGTACCTGTCTCCAATGAAAGGCAAATTATTTTAAGTACATTTTTTTATATAATGACAGTCTATTTGTGCTTTACTTTTTGTGTACAAAAACAAAAACTACTTTACAAAGTTTGATTTTGTTTAATTTAGTCATTTAAAAAAAAAACTGTGGAAAATAAAACACGCTGAGGAAAAAAGCGTGGCATTAGATGAGTTCACCTCTAACAACAGGCACACATTTCCCTCTGCTGAAGAAGCTGGAGTGCAGTTCTCTTGTGAAACAGATGTCAGAGGCAGTAGGTGTCCTGAGCACACACAGACAACAAATATATGATACGATATAAAGTGACGAAACACTTTTACACGAGTCTCCAGATTCTGCTTCATTCACTCACCATCTCATCCTGTTAAAGCTCCACAGATGCCGGAGCTTCAGGACTCCTGTTATCAGAATGAGCACAAACACTTTAAATGCATTTACATTTTCTACTGCCAAATCTACTCTAAAACGTGTTACCTCAGTTATATTAAATGTGCTTTTTTTTGTTTTGTTAAAGCCATGATTTTATAACTCAAAACCAGGTATCTGAGGCTCTGCCTACCCCAGATGTGTGGATCATCCATACAAGATTGATGATTGCACACTGTGATAAGAGGCGTGTCCTGAGGACGCTCATCAACCAGGTCCATCAAAACATCCTGGTTGTGCACCACCAAAGAGTTAAAATAGTCTGCAGAATCAGATAAATTAGGTTGAAGTTAACATCTTTCAGAATTTATAGTACACATTATTCAAAATCTGGATATGGAGAAACAGGCCCGTAGCCAGCTATGAGGTCACAGTAAATTTTTCATGTTCAAAAATAAAATTTGTCCTCTGAATGATTAATTTGTTGTTTAAAACTCCTTATATGAATGTCTGCATGTATAGTTCAGTTTAGACAGTTTGCAAGAATGCTTAGCATCTGTGGTATGAAAATAATCGCTGCGAGACGCTGGCGGAGTGAACAAGCCTCTGTGTTGCCAGATCCTATGTTGTTATAATATAAAGTAATTATAAGCATTTTTGGACTTGTCTTTTCCACTTAATTTGACACTTTAGAAAGTCAATAACGTGGGAAGTTGCAGTTTAGGGTCAGCGATATCTTTATCTTATTTGCAAAACATCTGAAATAATTTCAGTTTATTTCTATTTGTTTTTAGAGCAATATCTGGCAACACTGCATCGCCGGCACTTAAACTGACAGTAATCAAAAAAGCCCACGGACAGATTATTTCTGACAGAATAGCACATTCAGTAAGGGAAACGCAAAAAATATAATTGTATTATCTGTCAGAAACGTTATTAACTAAACGCTGTCAAAAACAGTGGCTTTTAACACTAGTACACAGATCTGCAGAACAAGTAGGTTACAGAATGAAATACACAAACATTAGCCATGAAGAAGTCTATGCCAAGTCGTTCAGTATAGTAGTTAAATTTTCACAAACATTCATAAGAGCATTAGACAAATTCATCATCTATACAGCAATGATTATGAATGAAAACTATAACAGTTATATGTATTGTTGCATGAAAAATAAGCAACTGATAAAATTATCCACCCCATAGTAAAGTATTAACAAATTTTGATGCAAATGATCATCCCTCCAAAACTGGGAAAATATCTTTCACAAACATCTACATGCCTGTCTCTTTTAAAGTGTTCATAGTGTTTATATTGAGTTGTATTTGTAGAGGTTATTATAGCACAATTCATGAGGAGAGACATCAGACTCACTGGTCCAAAGGTAGCTGTATGAGCCCACCATGCCCATGACCACTCTGCTGGATATTCTCCAGCCCAGCCGGGGGCATTGTGGGAAGGGCCACGTGACCTCCAAGGGCATCGCACAGCATTCACCCGCACTGATGAGATATTACAGCGAAGACATAGAGAATACACTGGTTTTCATCGGTTAAGAACAGACTTATCTACTGGCAGGGATACAGTTCAGCTGCTGAGTATATATTTAATCAGATATAGCATGTAATACTTATATATATTATACTTATATATAACAGGGATATATCTGTTTAGCATAAGCAAGAGCTTTATGTCCAAATAAAAACAGAGGAGCAGTGTGGCAGCTGTTAACACAAATTACACAACCTTGAGAAATAGCGTGATGTGTGAAAACACAAAACACGGCGAAAAAACAAACATGACATAAAATCTGCTTTAGTCAAACAATAAGAAACTTCCTCATTTTAAACGTAAACTTATGTAAACAGGGTCATTGTACATGACTGAATTGACTAATGGGTGTAGTTAATTGTTCGCCGCTTTTCTGTAACGGCAACGTTAAACTGTAATGTGAATTTGTTTCATTGTAAAAAGTATAATCAAGAAAATGTAACCCTCCCACCTTCCGTGCCGTCAGCCGATGGCCGCAGAAATGCAGCTGCACCGGAAGTACTATACCACCGCGAGCGATCATGGGAGCTGTAGTTTTGTAGTCGTCATTGTTCTTCTTCTTCTTTTGGTGTTTTATTGCGGTTGGCAAACAAACGATAGGTGCATTCCCGCCACCTACTGGGCTGGAGTCTGGACCATTGATGGAATAGGAAGAACTAAATAAAATAATTTAAAAAACAGAAATACTTTTTTTTAAGTATGTCATTAAAGCATTATATGTTTTATAATGAATCAAGCCATTATTCAACAGAGTTTTAAGTGTAATATTTTCTATCCTCTTTTCTTCCAACAGAATTGCCCTTTCATTATCATAAGCAGAACAATGTAATAGTACATGCTCTACTGTTTCTGCTCATCCACACAGACTACAGATTAATGTCAAGTCTGGTAATGATTGTATCTTCTCTTCTACTACCAAAATTAACTCTTTAACCCAACTTGATTTTGAATATGATAAAGATGTCTTCCTCTCTCCTCCGTATTACAAAGTTCTTGCCATTTCATTTTTATTGCTGCTCTAATTTTAGCCTTAACTTCTTTGCTTAGTGGAATATTAATTTCTATATGTGATCATTTCAGCGCTTGTTTGGCTAAATCATCCACTCCCACATGTGCTGGAACCCACAAGAAACATATCTTAATTCCTATTAGTTTCCTCGACCTTCATGTTTTCACTTTTATAGTAACACCACATCAATCTTAAAACATAAAACTGATGATATTATATTAAAAAGACAAAAAAGAGTGTGGAGGGACTGCTGAAGCACGTTTTTATTTCACATTTTACGTCACATGCGGAAGTGGGGGCATAATAAAAGAAGTCATACTTAAAAGTCTGGCGTGAAGCATAAAAATCAAAATGTTGTATAGTATAATGTCATAAATGCAGAAACCAAGGGCTTAATTTTAAGGATTAGTCAGCGTCAGAGCTTGGAGGCTAACACATTTTAGCTTACACATAATTACTTTTAAATAAATAAATAACTGAAATATTGACTTAACCAACTATGTGTGCGTGTGCCCTTATGAAAATAACCGTGGTTTTGTTATAGTAAAAGTGTTGTAACCATGTTTTATTTGGCATATTGATTACCGTGTGTAAAAGCACATTTTTACTACAAATACCATGGTTAAACTGTGGTTAGTGATTCGAAACCATGGTTAATTTGTGGTTACCATGGAGGGTAACCACATAACGTTTTTTTTTTTTTTTTGTAAAGCCATGGTTAATTTTCGTAAGGGAGTGTGTGTGTGTGTGTGTGCTTGGTATTCCCTATGTTATGGGGACCAAATGTCCTCACAAGTATAGTACCAGTAAATTTTGACCTTGTAGGGACATTGTTGGTTCCCGTGAGGAAACAAGCTTATAAATCATACACAATGATCTTTTTTTTTTTAATCTTTTTTCAAATCTACAAATGCAGAGTGTTTTGTGTGAGGTTTAGGTGTAGGGTTTGGGTAAGTGGATAGATAATACAGTTTGGACAGTAGAGAAACTATTACGCCAATGAAATGTCCCCATAAAACATAAAAAACTAGTGTGTGTATTAGGGTGGCCCTTATTTTTTAAAGACTTAAATAGTAACATTTCTAAAGATTGGTTTAATACTTTTTTTTTTTTTTACAAATATACATAAGTTGTCTCCTAATAAATTTCACACAGTTTTCAGCTCAGACTGTATGTCCTCGCTACAGAATGGGCCTTAAGGGACAGCTGTCACCATATAAACTCACTCACATTATACTTTCAGGGTTTGCAGTAACAAAAGTAGCATCGGGGGGAAAAAAGGTTGTTTAATATCCACTGGCAAACCAACTCCTTATTCTAAATGTGCCATTATTAATTTTCCTTGTTCAACTCTTTATTCCATTATTTAACTCCTTATTGTAAATGATCTGTTACAATGATGCTTAAATCTGTTGCTATTTGTAAATGTTCCCCCATCTAGATTCTAGACCATACCAAAGGGGTTATAATACTATTTAATAATACTACTTTAAAACAAAATTTTCCCTAAGAACAAGTTGAAATTGAAGAGAGTAATAGGTCTCCAAATCCGTGTATCATTCGATCAATCATTTTTTGATTTAATATTGAAAGTAGAAAAATTAGAAAATGGCTCCTTTTTCATTTTTTCGTTTTTTTTCCAAAAAACGAAAAAAGAGAATTCAGCTTAAATTTACATTTTTCGTTCATGGGTGGAAAAATTAATAAACAGCTTGAATATTTGATTTCTACATGTGGGCAGGAATTAAACGCTCCTTTCTGCTGATTGGTCAGCCGAAGATCAAACCGTGCCATCATCAGTTCTTCTGCAGTATCACGCAGCAGAATAATAGTCCTCTGCTGCTGCAGTTGTACGGATTAATAACCCATTTTATCAATTTCATATTTTTCTCATCAAACAGACTAATGAATAGCTCAACACAACTCGTACCGGGGCAGAGTCTAGACAGGTCTTTCTTCTGTGTAGACCAGCAGTTCTTAAAGTGATAGGGGGTCCAAGAAATAATATAGCCTTAATATTGCAATAGCCTAAAGTTTTTATCATGATACATAGGCCTACTGTGATTTATTCCAAAGTGACTTATATGATGCATTTAATGTAAATCTAAATGAAGCCTTTTAAAAGACAAGTATTCCCTGTGGTTCATGTTTGTGGCATGCACCAGAAAGATGCTCAGCTGATGCAAAGAATAGAATTTATATCTACACATAAGAAAGTCCTGTCTAGACAATGCCCCGGTACGAGTTGTGTCGAGCTATTCATTAGCCTGTTTGTTTGATGAAAAAAAGATTAAATGTAGTTGCAATAAATGCGTTAAGAATCCATACAACTGCTGCAGTGGAGGACTATTATTTTGCTGCAGAAGAACTGATGACGGCACGTTGATCTTCGGCTGACCAATCAGCAGAAAGGGGCGTTTAATTTAATTAATAATTATTTATTTCACTGTTTATATTACAGAGCCATTGTTTTTGATTCAGAACTCCAGGTATGTAAAGCTTGATGCATCGCACCGGTCATGGTGCTACTGTGTTGGAGAGCGGAGCGAGGAACGAGGAGACCAGGAGTACATCAACACAGCAGATTTTAATTGTAACCAGGAAAACACACGTAGCAGATGAGGTAGACATAAACAGACATTCACAATACCGGACGAGGAAGAATGGAAACACACACAGATTAAATAATAAGGGAGCTAATGGGACACACCTGGGAACAATAGAACAAAAGGGGGAACACCTGGAAACACAATCAGGACAGGAACAGGAACAGGAAGACCATATAAGGACATGAACATAACCTGGAGCACGTGGGGGAAGAAAACACACAGAGACACGGAACAGAGTCTGACATTACTCCCCCCTCCCAGAAGGCGCATCCCGCGCCATAACAATTCCACCAAGGAGGGGGGGTGGGCGCCCTGGAGGTACCTCCAGGACTGGGAATACCTCCAGGGTGGATCAGGCAGTCCAGGGTGCCATGGCGGCACAGGTGTTTTTATTTACCTTTGCGTTTTTTGCTGATTGTGTCAACTTTTATTCTTTTTTCCTTGTTACAAAGAGTCCATGAGGTCTTTTTTCCCCCCCTGTTACAAAGAGTCCATGAGTCCATTTTCATTTGATGAAAGTGTTTGTGTGGTTAAAGGGCATCGTAGGCTGAACAAGTATCTGGTAGCTGGAACATGATGACCCTTGTTATCATCAAACTTTGATTTGAGCACAATCTCTTGGGGTTTGAACTTGTTTCTTTTGTAGTGAAAAGCACTTTAATTGAGCTGTAGACTTGCCCCCCCCCCCCCCCCCCCCCCCCACAAAAAATCCTTGAGGAGAATATCGTCTTTAGAGGCCCTCAGTAGGCCTAACTCGGGAACAAGCCCTGGGCTTGACTTGGCGACTGGAGTTCTCCTTGGGCTCGACATGGGAACTGGAGCCCTTTCTGTGCTAGACTCGGGGACTGAAGCCTTCTCTGGGCTAAACTCGGGGACTGGAGCCCTCTCTGGGCTAAACTCGGGGACTGGAGTCCCCTCTGGGCTAAACTCGGGGACTGGAGTCCCCTCTGGGCTAAACTCTGGGACTGGAGCCCTCTCTGGGCTAAACTCGGGGACTGGAGCCCTCACTGGACTAGACTCGGGGACTGGAACCCTCTCTGGGCTAAACTCGGGGGCAGGAGCCCTCATCCAATACCGGACGAGGAAGAATGGAAACACACGTGGCTTAAATAATAAGGGAGCTAATGGGACACACCTGGGAACAATAGAACTAAAGGGGGAACACCTGGAAGCACAATCAGGACAGGAACAGGAAGACCAAATAAGGACATGAACATAACCTGGAGCACGTGGGTGAAGAAAACACACACAGACACGAAACAGAGTCTGACAGCACCCACAAGAATAAAGAGTCTGAATATTTACATCAGAGTGATATTACAATTTTTCATTTTTAATAAATTTATCATCATACAGTTTACATAGAGATGCAAGTGAGCTGTTGTAAAGGTAACCAGCTATATATACAGTACGATACAAAGATTGTGATTTGCACACATAGTAATTGGTCTATAATTACTATAAATTTTTTTATACACCGAAGTAGAAAATAATCTCACATGAGAGTTAAACCATGATTTTCTTTCTAATTTAATCATTATTATTTACACATTTAGCAGATGCTTTTATCCAAAGCAACTTACAGTGCATTTAGGCTATACACTTTTTACCAGTATGTGTGTTCCCTGGGAATTGAACCCATAACCTTTTGCGCTGCTAACACAATGCTCTACCACTGAGCCACAGGAACATCTTTCTTCTTCCTTTTCATGACAGTTCCACTAATGCATTCAAATTACATATTATTAATTTTTATATTTGCTTTTATAATTTTATTATTACAATTATTCAATTGAAAATAATTAGCATAAGATAACAAATAAGAGAGACATATGTAAGAGTGCATCATTCAAAAGTAACATACATTACTGTAAACTTTCTTTGGATAAGGCAC